TGCTCACCTGGCAATTAATAAAACGCAACGAGTAACTTGGTTAAAACAAACAAACCGAAAGGCGATAACAACTGACACGCCAGCCGAGAGGCAGCAGAGGCAGGCAACAGAAACAGTTTACAAATTGCGACAAAAGTTACGGAAATTTAATTAAAATCAAATACATTCATTTGCCAGCGCGCTTTTTGGTAGGACCAAAAAAGGGGGCCAAAATGAAGGGGGTAGCGAATTCTCAGTCAGGTGTGACTTGATAGTTTATAGCACGCTTCACGAAGGGCGAGTGTGTGTGCGGGTGTGTGCGGGTGTGTGCGGGTGTGTGTGTGTGTGCTTGTCACTAGTTTTCCGCGTCGTTGAATAAACAAAATGTAAACAAAGTTTAACAGCAATGACACAGAGCACACACACATATACAGCAAGCACACACACACACACACACACACACACACACCTTCACACTCACTCGGCTCTAACCCCACCAAAAACTCACACTTGAACAATTGTTGTTGCTGCTTTTTTTTTTTTTATTAATATTATTTATGAGCCTGTGGTTGTATTTTGAATGAATGCCTAGAGTAAAGGTGTATCTACCAACACACACAAACACACACACACACACACACACCTACACCAACCTGCCTTGCCATCATTTACAGCCAGCAGCTGCTCAATTTCACAGCGCACACATTTGATTAACTTAATTTAATAGTATTTTGTTATTTTTCGTTTTTGTTGTCACTTTATTTAATACTCGTGTTCGTGTGCTTTTTGATATATTTGTTTGTTTATTTAATTTATTAGCATTATAAATAGGCACAGCTTGACGGTTCAGACCCAGTTTTTATTGCCCGTTCTGGGTCTGGGTCTGCAGAAAAGGGGTTTTGGGGTTTTATTTCGTATAATTGCCGACGCTCTCCATTCGATTTCCAATATGGAGCTTATTACAAATGAAGATGTATTTAAATAGACAGGATAAGGTCCTGGTATAAATATTTTAACTATGATTGCGACAATTGTCCAAAAATCAGCTGAGCCTTAGCTTGAAACTAAGACCAAAGTCTTGAATGTATGAAACTAGCTTCATGAGTTTAAATCTCATCAAAAATTATATAATATTAATTTGATAGGCTGGATCCATTACAATTTACTTTTATTTAATTCCAACCACAAAATATGCATTATCTATATCTTTGTCTATTTCCATTACAAGAGTATCAATATCAAAATGCACAAACTAGCCAAGGTGAGGCCTTAAAGCAGATCCTTTCATAAAACTGCCTGCAAACAAAGGAGAGGTAAGAAAATAAATAAAATGTCGTCAATTATGTGTGTGTGGAGAGACGAGGCGACCATTGGCTAATGAGGACACAATTAACTGCACAATTGCCCAGCAGCAGAAGAAGAGACAGCAGGAGCAGGAGCTGTGATGGCAGCTGTACAGACTGGACAAGCTCTACCTGAGGTCCTGTCGAGGACTGTTGGCCAAAACACAGATAAACAACAAATCGTTTGACAAATCAGGCATGAAACCATTTTGGCAAAACGATAAACAAAAGCAACTCGGCTGCTGCTGCTGCTGCTGCTGCTGCTCATTCTTTAATCACAAGGACACTTAAGGACGAACAGCCAGGATCAGTAGCTCAGCTGCTGCGAGCGATAAATAAGGCACAGCTTAGCTCATTGAAAGTCAGCACAAAAAGGAAAACTTCACTTCACTTTCAACGCCGCCAAGGATAAGATCCTTGCGGCTCTGGGCGGCTCACTTTGAAAACGTTACAAAAAAAAAAGTATCGGGTATCGGATTGCGACTGTCGCCAACATGCTTACAGGGTATACAGGCGCGCATATATCCTGTCGGAAACTGTTGCGGTGATCCTCGTCGCGATCGTCGTGTCATGCGATATGCTGCGTAGGCAGCGGCAGCGTCTCAAGTCGGAGCAAATTACCGTAATTATCCTGCTGCAACAAAATGGCGCTCATTAGGCGCGCCTCCTTCAGCCGCGCCCACACAATGGGGCGCACAACGAGCCGCAGAGACAAGCGCTGCATAATTATTTTTCGCTGACAACTTTTTGATGAATTATATAATTTTTTAAGTGCACCACAAATGATGCGCCTGATGATAATGACAACGATGATGACAATGATAATGATAATGATGATGCTGATGATGTGGCAAGCACAGGCTGAAGGATGCGCAGGACGACAAGCGGGGCTGAAATGAAATCTGACTTGAGCATCTGTTGAGCGGATTTAACTTGTTTAATTACCGTTGTATTCAGTTTTCCACGCCCTCAACCTCTCTCTTCCCCCTCTCTCTCTCTCTCTCTCTCTTGCTGTCACCGTCGACAGTTGCGCTCATTACACGTCCAGCTCGTCAAAATGTGGGCAGCCTTTCGAGTGTGTATCCCACAACGCTTACCCGGCCGCACCCCCTTCCCTGCCCTTCCCCCCCCTCTAGGTAACTGTAACTGTTGCCATTTTAATGCGCTCGAGCTCAAGTGTCGTCCCAAAATTGATTTTCATTTCATTGTTCGGCCTCTGAAGAGGTTCATAAAACAGCAAGCAAAATGGCAATGTGCTTGATTATGTTTGATACACACACACACACACACACACACACACACACACATAGTAACTGAGATACAAGGTGAAACTCGCTTCTGGGCTGAGCTGAATGCAAATACTGCACACACAGTCACAAAAGCAGGAGCGAGACGAAGCGATACTCGACACTCAATTTCATAGAGCCAAAAAAATACGAAACTCAAAAGGCCACTTGATAAATTTCATATATTTATAGCCCGCAGAGTACTGCGCTGCATTTGCACACTGAATGAAATTCCTTGAACACACACACACACACACACACACACACACGAACACAAGGACATTTTGACGGGGCCCGCTCCAAGTGCCGCCCCGGCACCATACAGCTTGGCCAAACACTTGCACAAATAAAAGATCTACTTCAACTTATTGAATTTTCGTTGATAGAAACAAGATAAAATGCGACATGGCAATAGCGACATTTGAATACGCTTCTTATAATGATAATGATAATAATATTTATAATTATTATTGCTGATGCTAATGTTATTGCTAATGATAATGCCAATGTCAATGCAAAGGGAATCGTAATGACAATGATAATGATTACGATAATGATAATGCTAATGCTAAGGCTGATGCTAATGCTAATGCTATTGCCAAGCCGAATTCTAATGCCAATGAAATTTCTAATACGAAGTGCTTGATAATAATGAAAATGATTATTGATTTATATTAATGTATCTGTTAGACTCTCCAGATAGTTGAACAAATGTTATTCAAATGCTTATATCTGACAAGATATGCTACTTTCTTTTTTAAATAAAGCCATATTTAAATGGCATAACACTCTGGGTAGACAGTGTATAACGAGTTTGAGGTTGGATGTCTTTTGCTGCCCGTGCCCACAAAAGGCATTTGCATATGAGTTTTATGAAAGCTCCTTTGACAACGCTGACTGGGCCGCCTTTGTGGGCTGGTCCTCGACTTGCCGCATTTGTCAGTGACAAATCCGTTAAGTCGCGCATTTCGCTCATTACGACAATGATGATGATGATGCTGATGATGCTGATGATGATGATGATAATGCTGCTGTTATAGTATTTGTGCAGGGAATTTAATTCTGACCCCACAGAATGGTAAGTGTAATCAAATTGCAACCCAAAAGCAGCAGCAGCAGCAGCAGCAGCAGAAAACTTGACGGCGATTTTATTAAATTTAAGTCCGTTGCACACACAATGCGACGTCATGTGGCGCCACAGAATTATTAAAAAGTAATTATGGCACAAATTACGAGATATCAATACAGCATTTAGCTCTGCATGCGGCCGGCCGGGCACAAAACCCGCCGTCGAGACCGGTTCGAGAAGTTGAGCAGAGGTGAGGCAAGGTTCGGGGTATGTTTAGGTTCAATTGGATTCGCTGCCGCACTTGAAATTTGTGCAAATCCTTTGGCTCACATCCTTCGGGAGCGGCTGCCGTTTCCGCTGCTGTCTGCGGCTCACAATGCGATTACAGGCATTCTTCGGCCAGACTCCGACTTCGAATCGACTCGTCTTCTATGCACATGTGCGCAACCATTTCTTTCCGCTTGCAATTTGACATAATATCAAGATTATTATTTAATTTCAACTACTGCTCCGATCCTTGAATGAGCCGAGCTACGGGACGCATTGATGCATTGTCGGGGTTGTTACATTCCATTTATCGGCCGGCTCCGGTCTGCTCGGGAAGATCAATTCTCTTGACTTGCTGAACATCAAAAAGGTCGACAGCTTGCATACAACTATTTATAAAAGGCCTCGAGATTACGTGTTACTTTGATGAATTGTTAATTTTGCGCTTCGATTGCGCAATGTTCGCAGATCTTGAAGGGCAACGAACCGAAATCAGTCAAACAAGTATTCAAGCGAAGTCTAAAGCCGAAGTCAATTGAAGAAAAAAACTACAAGGTATACCCTGTAATTTAGATTGCTTACAAACATATCTCTAAATAAGCTCTAGTCTTAGCCTAGAAATCTTCCTCTTATCAACAGCCTGGGCTTGATAGCCAGGTCCGTCGATCTGTCTCTATGCATGCTAGTCTCTGAGTTTCAGGCGAACTCATTGAAACCTGGCATAGATCTATTGATTTTTATAGGCAGTACATATTTCGGAATAGGTCGGAACACGCTACTCGCATTTATAACTGCCGTAAGTAAAATATTAAGACTGTGTTTTCTTCTTCTTAGGAACTATTGGCAAGAAATTAATTGAGTTGTATGAGTTTAAAGATTTATATATATATAAAACTGTTGACTGACTGATCTATAAAAATATCTACATGTATATAAACCTATACCTGAGGTATACCTAAGGGTATGTAATCCCCAAGTTCGATTTTCCTTCCTTTCTTTTATCACATTAATCTATTTCTTATCCCTAACTCTATATTGATAGGTGAGTATCATATATAAAATCTGAGCCAACTTTTATTTCTCATTTCTATCTATATAAATCTAAACCTTATCCCTTACTCTGTAGTAAATATTATATATCATAAATAAGCCATATAGTATTATAATGTTATTTAATCTGAGACAATTCTACTGTTACTATTCTACCCAGTTTATCACAATATACCATATACCACACCTTAACCGAACGAACGACCGTACGATCTATTTAGACTTGGACATCCTACAGACATATTTAGACTAGCCCTAACTTAGCTCCATTTGGATTAGTTTAAGCGCCGTTTTCTTGACTTTGATTTATTTGTTTTCTTAAGATTATTTTTAATTTACACATTCGTATTAACTAGATTCTATGACACTTGCAGCAGTTAATTAAAGATTAGTTTCTTAAAAGTAGGCAATATTTGTGGAAATATTTGCAACACAAACAGAAAGTTCCATTTCCTTATCCACTTAGGGGCTATGCTAAAGATATATACACAATCCGTCCATTATATCACCACGAGGGGGGAATTCCTATTTGCGAATTCGAGCGTCGAGCAGGTTACTTCTCTGCCGCTGGTTCAGTCTTCGCTCTTGGTAACCACGGAGACGGGCGTGGAGGCGTTGCTGCTGCCGCCCGTGGCGCTGCGTGGCGACTGCGCCGCCGTCGAGGTGAGCGTCAGGTCGCCAGAGATGAGCGTGGTGCCGCCATGCGCCAGCTGATGGGGCGCCAGCGAGTTGGGACTCTCGCGCGGGCTGCTGTTGCTGCACGGCGGACTCACCTGCGCCGACGACGGATGCAGCGACAGATTCTGCGGATAGCCGGCGGATGCGGCCGCCGCCGCTGCACAGCCGCTGGCCGCGGCCGCAGCCGCTGCGGCGCCGGCGCCAAAGATGCCATTCAAATTGCTGAGGCCCATGTACTGGGAGAGCAGCGTATGGAAGTTGGGCAGCTTGTAGTGGGGCGGCATCAGCTGTTGTGGCAGCAGGCCTGGATTGAAGTGTTGATGCAGCGCAAAGTGCGGCGGCCAAAACTCGGCGGGCAGCGCCGCCGGATGACCGGGCAGTGCGTGCGGCGGCAACGGTATGCCCAGCGGAAACTCGGGCAGACCTGCGGAGAGGAAGGAGAGAGAAGGAGAGCATGAGATTTGGGCGTCGATTGAGCGACACGCGGCACACACAATTCTAATTATGTTGCACACGTAATTTGGTAATTTGCTTACCTTGGTCGGGCAGCAGATAGCCGGCCTTGTCCTGATTCATAAACTTCTCACGTTTACGCCATTTGGCGCGTCGATTCTGGAACCACACCTGCAAGAGTAAATGGACAAAAGTTGCAGTTAGCAGTTCCACAATGCAAATCCTTTCCAACGTCTTTTGTAATTGGTCCTAAGCAAGGTGTGAAGCTCGGCGAAGAGCTCATCAAATGCCTAGCATAGCACCGCATACACTCTAAAAAATAACTACGCACCAAAGTGTACAATTTTGTTTTTAATTTAAATACTAAAATAAACATCGAGAATATAGTTTCTTTTTTTTTTTGGCTATTTCTTTCATGGAAAGTCTGGAAAGTCTTTTTAGAAAATCTTATTTTCAGCAAACAATTTTCATGCTTCCAAAATAATTAATCATCATCTGATATTTTCTATTTTTACTTTAAGATAAATCTGAAACTATTTTCTAAAAACTAAAAAAGTTAAAAATAAATCAATTAAAAGCCGATTTCGTGTTAGTTTTTTTTTCTGAGTGTCGCTCAAAATCAAACCCAATCCCAAGCTGAGCCAGAACTCGAGTCGCAGTCTGACTCGTAGTCGGAGTCGGAGTCTGCGTCTGCCAAATACAATGGCATCCAATCGGAAGTGTGCAACTGTGATTTGTCCTGGCGCCATGCGAGAGAGAGAAAGAGAGGGGGGAGAGGGGCAGACCGAGGCTGGCCCCATGCATTTTTGACACTCTACGCAGGGGTTGTAGATGGTATTCACTGTAAGGTGGATAGGTGGAAGGGAGGAAGGGGGGCTGTGGCACTTCCGGCCGTTGAGCTGGGCCGGAACAGTGGAAGAGCTGTCTCGTCTTGGTCTTGGCATGTATTAAGAAAATTAATTGTTTGTAAATTGAAATCACTTGACAACTGTGCACAGCTCGAAGAGTTGTGCAATTATAGACACCCTGTATTTAGCTGCTGTCACACACACACACACACACTCGCACACAGCATCCTTCGTTGCAACAACAATGCGTGCAGCGGAGCGAGTCGTAAATTAGCAACGATTTCCTTGCAATAATTGCTGCCAATTATTGTCCTGTGTCTGTGCATGCCACACCCCTTGCCCCCCTCCCTGACCCAGCTCCAGCCTCCTTCCATGTGTGTGCAACCCTTGTGATTTTGTGCGCATTTTAATTGTGAGTGCAGCGCAATTATAATGCGGCTTTGGCCAACAACCTAATGCCACTTTTCAGGCCCAACCAGCCGAGCAGCCGACCATCGGGCCGGGCCGGTCGTTAAAGTTGAATTTACGGATATCCTGACCACATTTATCGCACATGTGCGATCAGCACGAAGATAAGGCTCCAAAATTAAATATTTGACAACAACTAAATGAAATTGAGTCTAAAACTCCAAACAAGTAAACATTTCTGGAGCATAACTCGGACATTATCAGAGCTAGAGAGAAGAAATTTAGCATAAAGATAGTTGCACAATATTTCACTTTTTAGACAAGTTCTTGAGGTTGTCCCGTATTTTATTGAACTCTTAATTACAGAATTACAGTCTTGAGCCTAGGTATCTGCACGCATTTCTATGCGATCGGACAATATGCTCCGAAGTTAAGCAAGCATGTTTTAGCCAAATATAAAGTAGGGTTAAGGCAGGATGAAGCAAAGTATAAAGTCTGTCTTAAATCGTATCAAAGCATGTCTGGCCAAGGGAAATGTTATTATATATTAATCGTCATAACTCACAAAACGCAACAGATTTGAGCTTTTCAAAAAGCATTAGCAGGCTGATTTGTCATGCAAAATGCGCTTAACAAAATATGTTTTTCCCCCCCAAAAAAAAAATCGAAAAGTCGTCAAGCACAACATTTTTTTGTTGTTGGGGAAGGGGGCGTCCCGCAGAATGTGAACTGTTTCCACATGCCTCATGCAAATCCCAAAATAATTGACCGCTCATCAACCCCTTGCGACAGGGCAACAAAGTATCTGATAGATACTAGAAAAAAATAAACAGAACGAAAAAAAAGCGAACAGCTCTAAATCTGTTACTATTGAAGCACTGAAGTGGGACTGAGAGCATGACGTCTAACGTATGCGAATCAATGACCAATTACGCTTAATCTGCCAGCGGATACACAAACGTGAAACGTGGCTTAAAACGGGGAGGACAGTGTTCCGCAGGACGAGTGATAATCCCTCAGTGAGTGCCAGGTCAAGTTGTTTTACATTCCCTTCTATTTTTTTGTTGGGAGTATCTCTCGTATCTGTGACTGTCAACTCGAGTGCTTGAAAGCATTTCAACTCAAATCAAATTGCGCAAGGATCGAAACAAGGATCGTAGCCCAATTGCACGTGTGTGTGTGTGTGTGCACCACCCAAAGCCACTTTTGATTGTTTACCCAAAAGTAGAGTTAATAAAAATACCAACACCCAAAAACTGAGACTCTCGCCCTGCCAAACTTAATCATTTGGAAAATCACAATATCTAATGTCCTTTAGCCACCCCTAAAGCAGCAACCCCCAACTATGTGTGTGCGTGTGTGCATGCGTGTGTGTGTGTGTTTGCATACAAAGTGTGCACTAAGTGTTTAAAAGACCATTTACAAATTAAGTCCTTTGATTGTTAGCGATTTTGTTGGCCAATTACAATTTCTATAAACACCCTAAATAATATACTTAGCGAAAAAGAAACTGCAGTTTGTTGTCAAAGCAGCTCGAAATGACTTCAACTAAGCACAAAATTCTTAATTTAAGCACTTTCTTTTTGAGTTCAAGTACAAATTCTTTAGCTAACCCAGTCGTCAAGTATTTTGTGCTTATCTGAATCTTAGTTTTAAGCTTTCTACGCACAAAAACCTTTTCTTAAGAATTTTATGCTTATGTTTTCTAAAAGTTGAATTAGAAGACTTTATAAATTGTATTAAACAAATTGTACGCTTAATTTAAGATGCAAAAAGTCGTTTTAAAACGAATCTTTTTCTCTTGTTTTTACCCCTTCACAAATTATATTCAAATCAATATTCAACGCATTGAAATACTTTGTGCCTAAATAAAATCTTAATATTTTTTTAAATACTTTGTGCTTAAACCAATTCTTTTTCTCTTTTCTTTTTTTTTCTCTTCAACAGTTGTTTTTAAAGTCGGTATTCAACTTATTTTAAGCAGTTGCCAAAAAGACTTGCGCTTGAAATTGAGAAAAGCAAAACGCTTGAAATTGCCTGCGAATCGTTTTGACAGCTTCGCGCTTGGCTTTTCGCTCAGTGTAAGCCGCTTAGCTTTGTGCGCTGACCTGGCCGACATAAGCCGTAAATAATTACATAATCAGCAGCTAAAAATACTCAATTGAGGCAATATAAATCTAACTGGTTGATTTACCTGAACGCGTGCTTCGCTCAGGTCGAGTCGCATCGCCAGATCCTCCCTTGTGAACACGTCCGGATATTGTGTCTTCTCAAAGGCGCGCTCCAATTGATGCAATTGAAATGTTGTAAACGTGGTGCGAGATCTGCAAATCACATAAAAAAACAGACGCGGGAGAGGGTAAGTCGATGCTGTCGATAACAATAAAGTTGTTTAGTTGCTTTTTAATGGGCCCAACAATGGGCCGAATACGATTTTATCTGCTAAGCGGCTTGTTAAGAAGGACTCTTGTCAAGGACTCTAATAGATATATATATATTATATATACTCATTGCTTACCTGCGAACTTTGCGCGGTCGCTCCATGTCGCCCAGATCGTGTCCATTATTGAGGCTCGAGGAGAGCTCGTCCTCGTTGTCCACGTCCAGGCCGCTTTCCGTATTTGTGGGCGAGTCCTCGCGCTTGGCAATCAGCTGTTGTTGTTGTTGTTGCTGCTGCTGCTGCTGCTGTTGCTGCTGTTGTTGTTGTAGTTGTTGCTGGTGCTGATGCTGATGTTGCAGTTGCTGCTGCTGCTGCAACAAGCTGTTGTTGTTGCTGCCACTGTTGCCGGCGTGATGCAGGTGATGTATGTGATGCGCGTGTGTTATCAGCACCTCGTTGGGTGTTTCTGTGAAAATCGTTGAATTGAAATAAAATTAACTGCAAAGTGCACTTCATAATCAAGAGCGAAATCCAAAAGTTTGCCAAATTGATTTCGAGTGCTTCAAAGTTTGCCGATTCGTGTTTGACTTTGGCATAAAACAGTACAAAAAGCCAAAGCAAATGGAAAACGAAACAAAATAAAAACAACGCAAACATAATGTCGCAGTTTAAATACCCTTACATGGAAACGATTTACCATTAAAATATATTAAAATATATATATATATATGGAGTTATTCATATATACTTCAAATTTACAGACATTAGCTCGCCAAATTTTTGGAGAATGACGCATTCAAGTCAACAAATTCCTCTTCTTTTTATGAAACCTGTTTGATGTACATCAAATTTATAATGATAAATCTTTGATGTACATATACAACTTACATAAACATATTTAAGACTGAAATATTTTACAAAATCTATTTGATTTACATCAAATTTTCATCTGATGAATTTCATGAAGTGTCTCTGATGTACATTACTCATTGCTGTCTTCTTAATTTTTCCAGTTATAGTTCGATGTACATCAAATAACTTTAATGAAACTTATACACTTATATATCGACATTCATGAGGCATTATATTATATAAATATTTAGAATATAGAATTATATACATAATTCCAAGCGTTACATATAAGCTGAGAATATTTTATTACCCTATGCAAGTGTATATGGAAAAGTGAAATAAAAAACAAATCAAGTTGCGCTGCGGCAGCTGCGAAAAAGCGAAATTCATTGAATTGCAACTGAAGTAGTAATATCCTGATATATCCTGGCTGATTGAATGCGCCGTCAACTTTGCCAACTTTAACCCCCATTTAAATGCTTTAAGCGGCAAGCTTTCAAGTGCGCTCTCCAAGCGAGTGTGTGTGCGAGCGAGTGTGTGTGTGTGTATGTGTGTGTGTGTGTGTTGCACGCAATTCGATTTGGCAATCAATAACAAATAATTATGGGAAGCAGCGAATTTTTAACTGAAAGCCAGCAAAAGTTGCCTTTCTTCTGGCGGCAACAGTTGCCAAAAAGTTAAAAGCAACCCCTTGAGGCCTTGATCCTGGCAAGTCCTTTCACACGGCCCGAGAACGTTTACGTGTGTGTGTGTAACATTTTTCCAGCAGAACATGCAATCAAATTTTAATGAACCTCAAATTAATAATATGCACAATGACGAGCCAGAACGAGGCAGGACCAGGCAGGAACACACACGCACAGCGGGACATCGAGTAGTGCACAGGATTCGGCTATTATCCTGATCGTTTGGCATTGGCGTTGATGTACATTGGCAACATTTATGCGCCGCTTGTTGCGGCGAAAAAGGTAATTTGCCCCGAAAGCGGCATCAAATTACGGCGCACAGGACACTCGCGATTGAGCATGAAATTGCGCCAGCTTTGCGCTCAACATATATCCTGGCAAAATGTCCTGCGGTGCGCACGTTGTCACAAAATTGTAAGCTTGGGTGCTCCTCCTCATCCTGCTGCTGCCCATGAATGTCAATCTGAAATCTAATTACGGGTCTAATGATGGCAAGCGTCTCATTACGGCCGTCCTGCTGCCAGGATATCAATATCGTGATATGTTTTGATTTGCGCTCGACTGTTCCCATTTTTTAATACTTCTTGCCTCAGTGCTCGCCCCTCCCCCCCCCCCTTCTCTCTCACTCTTTCTCTGTTTCTCTCTCTTGGCGCGTCGCGGCCACGCCCACAACACGCTGCCCAACAACGGAACGCCCCATTGCATTGAGTGTGAAACATGGCCAGCTTTTTGTCAATGCCCGAAAAACTATGGTCATGTCCTCGTCCTCGTCCTCATTTGCATATGATGAAGACATCCACAGACAACGATAGGCGGTCCTTTTGATGTGGTTTTCCATGGAGCACGTTGAAGAGCTGCCCGTGGACATTCTTAAAGGGACTCCACAGGAGTGTGGATTCTCTGCGGGTTTTGTGGGTGTGCAAAAGGTTGTTCTAGTGAAAAGTTTAATTGCAATTTCTGTTCAAGGAACTTTGACAGCAGCTGACAAAAGGAGAGATTGAAAAGGGGTTTCGAAAGGAATAACAAAGGTTTATACAAATATACAATAGAATATTTTTATTACTATTTATTCCAATAATGTTTCCTATTTTATCATTATATTATTTCAGCATGAGCTAATAAATATCTGATTACTGCTTAAAGAAACTGTTCTTACATATGTTAATAAAAGCTGCCTTTACAATTTTCATTTGTCATGAAATACATAAACTTCGGGATTCAAACTCCCAAAAAGATGGAAGACGGAAGCAGGAAATTTAGTGCCAAGAAGAGATATCTACAGCCAAGCTTATAGTGAGAGATTCAAACCCGATACAGGTTTAAGGTAGAACCCGTAAAGACAGTTTTCTCTATATATACAAAATATATTTCAATTAAGACAATCAATTGTTGTTGTAACCGAACTTTCAAAGAAGCCTTCACCTCCATTAAAGAGTTTACTTCTACCAAGCCCTAGTATGAGGTTCGAGCTTTAGGAAAAAACTAAAGACGGGTATTTTGATTTGAAAATAATATTTTAGGCAAGTTTCTATTAAAAGAAATTTCCTTATAACATATTAAAATTGTATCAATTTATTATATTGATGCAATTTTGTTGATTTTGTTTATATTATAAGTTCGAACTCGTATAAATGCTTGTTCTTGTAAGTAAAGGATATATATCTTCAGCCATATTAATTTGTGGCCAATAACTAGTCAAAGCTACATCACTTTTTATAGACAATAATAGAACCTCAAGGCAATCTGGGACTCGAACCCGAAATTTCGTAAATTCTATGCCATTTATCGGCTTAAGAACCATTCGAATAAAACTTGACTTGGCTCCGATCACCGACGGCAAAAGTATTTGGCATAGCTAAGCTTTTTTATATGGCGGTTTTATGGCTAAAACTTACCGCTGCGCTTGGTTTGATGCTGATTGCCCAGGATCTGATCGATGCTGTAGACGGCGCGCGGTCTGGAGACGGGACTCTCGGGTACTGGACGCATGGCTGGCGGCATGATGGGATGTTGTTGTGTTGTCGTTGTGGTCATCATCGCGTGCAGCCAGAACAAACAGGTCGAAAACAGCAGCTGTTTAATTAAGCTCTGATCACATTGACTTTTGGCTAACAGCAGCTCGCGACGTGCATGACCCGGCGGGGCTTGTGCTATTGGATTTTTATATTCTTTGACTTTTTATTGGCCACAAACTAGAAAACGCGCACGCACAAAAATTGTTAACTGAAATTCGATTTTTGTTTATATTTGGCTTTTCGGCTAACGACAACAGTAAATTTGACACGTACGCTGGCGGCGATCAACAACCACCGACTGAGCTCGGCGACGGCTGAGCGAGGGCATTAAATACGTCGGAGAGGCGTTTTATTGTCGTACCAGCGGGTGGGGGGCGGCGGCAAAGTGAAATGGGCGAGGCAGCTGCTGCTGCTGACTGTTATCCTGCGTATATCCTGGCTGCAAGTCTGCCGTCTCGCTTGCGCAGGGTAGTTTGTGTACAGGTAGTCTAGGGGCGGCTCTCTCTCTCGCCGCGCTCTCATCCTCATCCGCTCTCCCTGTCATCCTCTCCCTGACACCCTCTCTCTCTCGCGCTCTCTTTTAATCAATTTCTTTGCCAGTTAGCTCTGCAACTATGTTTGCTGATTAATTTTATTTATTTCATAAATTTCGCTCATTAAAACTGAGCTCTATTTGTTAGTGGCTCGCCCTCTCGCTCTCACTCTTACTCTTGCTCTCCCTCGCTCTCTCTCCCTCTTACTCTCTCTCTCTCTCTCTCTAGCCTCACGGGCGCACGCATCAACAAATCACAAAACAGGTTAGTTCCTACCTGAAGCTAGGCGGCCATTTGTAGCGCATTTATGATTTCCGCTTTTTTATGCCCGTTTTACCTTTCAGTCCACAAGTCGTAAATTGTGCACCTTGTCCAGCCAATTTTATGATCCCCGCTCGGGTTAAGCGCTGAGCCTCGCGTTTTCATTGAACAATCCAAATGCTCAATGGAAGAATCCCCTTACTTAGGCATACGACATCAGGCAGCGGGCTAGAGGGGCAGCTCCTGGCAAGGGTTTCATTGAATAAACAAATCTGCAGGATTTCCAAAATTAGGTACAGCACCATCTAAGCGAAATATATAAGAGATTAATAAACTAATCCAAGGCGAATATTTAAAGAAATTTTATGTACAAAATACAATTTTAATTATGTGTACAAAAGTAATTTGTTCTTAAATTTATTTAAATATTTTCATATAACACCTTTCCCTTTTTTAAGTCTTTGAATAAGTGATAAAATTTTGATTTAAAAAAATATATACAAATTTTAAGGAAAACGGAGAAAATATTATTCGATTTTCGCAGTCAAATATAGTTTGGGAATACCCTTATAAAAGGGTTTCAATATCATTCAATTATTGAAATAAAATAATTATAATAATAAAATATTTGGTGTTCGAACCCTCAGATTCGAGCCCATTTTGGGTGCAGAATTCAAATTAATTTTAGAATCATTTCTTAAATTAATTTTGACTTAAAATATAACACGAATGATTGAAAATTAATAATAATAAGTCCTGATAAATGAATATTATAGTATCTAGGATTTGATTTGTTCTCCCTTGGACAATTTTTTTAATGTCTTTCTATATCAAATGAAAACTGCGAAATTTTCCTAGAATTTTGTTAGACCTCCTGTAGTGGCTGCTTTGCACTCCCCAAACGAATCTGCTTGTTGATCAGCTGCTCTAGTTTAGTTACTGCTTTACCGACCGCGCTGGAAGCCAATTCTTCGTTTATTGCACAGCTGAGGGCATGCGCAACCGAATAGGGCGAATAGAGAGGAAAAAGGTGATAAGATCAGGCCATAGTACCGTTTTAAAATATAATCGCGTGATGTAGAGCTTTTGAAAGCTTCCTTATTTTTTTTGTCGTTGGGAAGTAGTAAAGGTTAAAAGTACAGCTTAGCATGTCAGATATATTTGAAGCGCGTGCGAGTTAAGTTCATAACATTTTTTCTTTCTTTGCAAATAATTTTTGCAAAGACATCAACGACCAAGGCTGCAATTGTGGTACAGTTTGGAAGTGTTCTTTTGGTACGCTAATAGAAACCAAAAACCTTCATAACAACTCGACCCACTAACCTAATTGTGATTCGGGGTGACCCTTAAAGAAAAGGTATTTATATGTGCTAGTGTTGAGACTTGGAACTAATTAAGGCTTCCACAGTTTCCGTGCCTGCTCAGTTGACTAGATTTAGACGTACTAGTCGGCACTACCAGAGGGGGAGATCGGACCAGACAAGGGCAACACCAAGAGCACGTGTCGCACTTAGCAACCCAGCAGAACCAATTTTGTTGCTATTTTACTTATCAGCCGCTGTCTTGCGAAGAACAACATCTGGCATAGCCTCGGAAAACGGCGTCAAGCGGGTGAAACGCTTACTATTTATGCAGCACCATCGGGACCGCATGCACTAAGCATATAGTGTAACCTGCAGAGAGTAACAAAGGAGCCGAGTCTGTATTACTTTTGGTGTACCCCTTTCGCTTGCTTAGCAGCATTGCCATATAATTCCATTAATTGTTTAACGTTGCCAAGATGGACGGCTAATAGATCCTTAGTTTTAATTTTTATTTCCTTTAATTTTTTTTTCTTTTACTAATTTCTTTAAAACAAAATGTGCAATGAATATGCCTAAATAAGTTAAAGCGAGAGGAAATTCCTACACCACCGACCTTGACCGTTGCTCATATATATATATATATATATATATATATATATACATGTGTTTATATACTTATAAATTTCTTTTGTAATATTTAGCAATAGCGATCATAATCGTCGTATACATTGGGCCCAACGTCTGCTTCGAAGGATATCGCGTGAGTAAGAGTTTAAACCAATGCCTATAGATATATGTAGTTATATACACACATGAACATTTAAATGCAGTTAATTTAGCAAGACGGTAAATTAATTACTATCCGTCAAGTCTCAAGATAATGTTGGTGAATTTCTCCTTCCCCTTAATTTCTTTATGGGATTTAAACTCGTTATTGCACATTCATCATATTAACTTTGGATTCAAATTTTGTTTGGAAACTGTATATTTTTTCTTGTAAATAGAGTTATACTCACCTTGCTATTAATTGGCAACAAAATTGAACAATGCGTGAATAAACGAATTATATTAGCTTATATGATATGATATCCTAATTCCATAATTAATTGTTTTATCTGTCAAGTACCCATGTTAGCCGCTTGCAATTTATAGTGATGGTTTAAGAACCTGAAATAGGGACAAGCATCCACATTCCATTTTTTTTTTGCTTGTCAAGGTAGGGAGGGTAAAGAGAAAGAGAGACGATCAACACCTTAGTTCTCTCACTTACGCGAAATTGAATAGTTTGAATTTGGGTGTTCGGTCGGAACACATTAATGGTACCCATACTAGAATCCGGTTTTTTTTTTGTTTCAATGGATTTACTTAAATCAATAAGTTTTTTTTTATTTTTTTTGATCGCACTTAAACTATGTGTTTATGGTAAGTGCAAAAGGGAAAGGAAAAAAACCCCGACCAGTCCGACGAGCTATTGTCCGAGTATTAGCAAGAAGTGCGAACCTCCAATCCCTATGCACCCGGTTAGGCAACAGCCACGGCCGTTTGTTTTTATTTTTGGTAGATGGCCAAACGAAAGGCAAAAACTGAACCCGAACCCCCCCACCATTACATATATGGCGCCCAACACGTGGGACCCTAGCAAGAACGTAAAACTTTTACTTCTTGCGTAAGCACGACTAACACCTAGTGCACAACAATCCCCAATCGAAACTCGAAGTTATACCATATCAATTACTACCTATTATTTTTTAATTACCCTGTTAGGCCCCTTTCTCGGGAAAATACGTTGTGTTCAGACAGTAGTTAGTTGTAGGAATTTGCGATTGTAATTCAGGCATTGCTGGATTAGTCGACCACAATTAATTACTAGTACTTTAAGCAGCGGGTAAGATCGGAAAAGAGGGAATAATAATCAAATTTGGGTTAATTGTTTCAAGGACTATTTGGAATTACAACAAACTGGAAATAGTTCGGATGTTGTCTAGTAGTCCATGAGCAGTAAAAATCCAAATCAGAAATAGACTCCAGTAAAATAAATAGCACAAATTCAACTACTCAGGTTTGCTTAAGAATTGTAAGCAATAACGTGTGGGAAAAAGACAGATAGAATAAATAACCAAGACTTAATAATACAAGTCCTATTTAGTTTTCCTTTTGTTGTTTGGAAACAAGCAAAAGTTTGCATTCATTATGGCAGTGAGACGAAGCACAGAGAGCATAGTTGCAGCGATTAACGCGCAAGATCCATTTTGTGGCATTTGCCATGAGCAATTGCAAGCAGAACAGCTATCTGCGACTACTCCTTGTCAACACCGTTTTCACGACGTTTGCATAAGCAATACACTAAAGACAACCCCAAAATGTCCAGTATGTGAGGCAGATTGCAACCCAGGGCAACTAATATTTATGAACAATACACTGGCAGCGGAGTTACACTCAGCTGGTAATGCTGAAACAGACGAAACTCTATCGCGAAATACTCTACCTTGCCAAGATGGTTCGACTACTACAGGTATCAGGAGAGGTCAGCGATTCGGAAAAGGGCGAGGAGCCACGCCCAAGCGAAGTATGCAAACTAGGTCTATGAATCGAAATCATAGAGAATATTTAGGTAGTTGCATGTCTTTAGGCAGCAACGGAAATAAGTCAGTGGACAATGGTCCAAATGTAGAGACAATTACCTATATCAACGAAGCTCTACAATCTCAGCAAAGGACTTTAATAGCAGAACTCAAAAACGTTATTAAAGCTTCTGTTGAACAATCACTGCAAGAGAAGTTAGCAACATTAAATGTACGAAGTGAGCAAGCTGAATCAACACGCTCTAGATTAGTTCAGTCTCCAAGGGGATTAGGTGCTGATACTCTCCCTAATAGTGCCCAGAACTCTGACATACCCCTTGACTGCGGACCATACAGCCCCAGAGGTAGCAATCGATCAAACTCAAGTTTGAGTTCAGAAAAAGCAGCTAGCATTATGCAAACCTGGCGACTTAAATTTGACGGTTCGAAAGACTCTATGCAGATAGATGAATTCTTGTATCGAATTCGTTCATTAACGGCTCAAAATTTGAACGGCGACTATAGGCTGCTTTGTGACAATCTTCATTTACTTTTCTTCGGGAAAGCCAATGATTGGTTTTGGAGCTTCCACAAGAAAAACCCACAGTATACCTGGTTGGCTTTCTGTACGGATTTCCGACTTAGATTCGAGGACGTTAAAGACGACTTTGACTTGTGGGAACTAATTAGGAAAAGACGCCAGAAAGATCAGGAGACATTTGATGATTTTCAATCAGCGATTGAAGGCCTGGTTAGCCAATTATCTAACGAAATAAGCGAAGACAAGCTTGTTGACCTATTAAAACGCAATGCGAGAACAGCGCTCAGGTACGAACTATTGCATTTGAAGATTAGAACTCGAGCAGAATTAAGAGAGGAAGTTAAGAAACATGAAAGTTTCTGTAGAGAAACTGGCTCGTTTCCCAATCGAACCAAATACGGTAGAGGTAATGTCTCTGAGTTACTGGAAAATAATGATATAGAAGATAATATTTCAGAAATACAGAACAAGAAAATAGTGTGCTGGAATTGCGATAAAGTGGGACACCGATTCGATGACTGCATGGGAGAAAGGCGTATATTCTGCTACGGTTGCGGTGCTAAAAATACTTTTAAACCCAATTGTAGCAAATGCAATCTTTTGGGAAACCGGAAGCGGGATGCGCAGACCAACACCAGTTTGACGCATCCCACAAAAGAATAAAGTCCTTGCCAGAAATACAGTCATATGGTAGTTTGGAGCAATCAACTCCAAATACTATATTTACAACTTATATGGCAAATACATGTTCAGTCGCCGAGACTGCAACTCAAACTGATATTGAAAATAAGTACGTACCGGACCATATTAGAGTAAAACACTATCTTGACACACGAAGACGAATTTTTAGCAGCATAGAACCCATCGAATTTCTCAGTCGGCCAAAACGCTCTACTGTTCGACTTAGGAAATTCTGGAAAAATATTAAAAGTCTTCGTAAGAAGCTCGTTCAATCAGTGTTTATGAGCTCAGATAACCGCTTGTACACTGAGTTAAGCCTAGAGGGAGAAAAATATGTAGCATTATTAGATTCCGGAGCGACGATTAGTTGCCTCGGTAATGTTGCAGCTAAGTCACTGTTGTCACATCCCAAAGCGCGCAAATGCTCTGGATCAATCCGAACAGCTAACAACGCTATTTGCCCAGTGGTAGGCAAACTGACACTTAAAGTTGAATTTCGAAAACAAGTGCATAATGTTGATTTTTATGTTATACCCGATTTGAAACAAGATGTTTACTTAGGCATAAATTTTTGGCAGGACTTTGGACTGTTAACGAATTTAATTCGTCCTGATGAGTCCGTAAATGAATTAGACAACAGTAACGAACAGGATATCCAGGAAACAGCGAAAATGCATCAGCTAACCGCTGAAGAAAAGTCACGATTAAATTCGATCATTTCTAATTTCTATTCTTATGAAAAGGAAGGATTAGGACGCACTGAGTTAATCGAACATCGCATTGAAATAGATAATGTGACCCCCGTCAAACAAAGACATTGGCCTATTTCGCCAGCCGTTGAAAAGCTAATGTTTGACGAGATCGAGAAAATGCTAGCTTTAGATATAATAGAGGTATCGCATAGCCCCTGGAGCAGCAACTGCGTCCTTGTGCAAAGAAAGGATAAAAACAGGCTGTGTCTAGATTCTCGAGTCATAAATAAGTACACTCGTAAAGATGCGTACCCTCTACCCCATATCGACGGAATTCTTAGTCGTCTGCCGCCGGCTAAATATATAACGGGCCTCGATATGAAGCACGCATTCTGGCAGATACCCCTAGAAGAAAAATCACGTCAGTATACCGCTTTTACAGTCCCTAATCGTCCATTATTTCAATACAAAGTAATGCCGTTTGGATTGTGTAACGCTCCTCAAACGCTTTGTAGACTAATGGAACGCGTGATACCAGCCCATTTGCGGACCCGCGTATTTGTCTACTTAGATGATTTACTTCTGCTATCAGAGGACTTCGATTCGCATATGTTGCTTTTGCAGGAAGTAGCGCTGCACTTGCGTAAAGCGAACTTGACAATCAACATCGCAAAATCAAAATTTTGTATGCGGGAAATTAAATATTTGGGCTTTATAATTGGGTATGGTCAACTAAAGACGGACCCTAGCAAAATACAAGCTATTAACGAATTCCCTGTACCAAAAAGTGTAAAACAACTGAGACGTTTTCTTGGACTCGCTGGATGGTACAGACGTTTCGTTAATCATTATGCAACAGTTAGCTTTCCGCTTACAGAGTTGCTAAAGAAATCGAAAGTATTGAAATGGAACACTGATGCTGATTCCGCTTTCAACACCTTAAAAACACTTTTAACTTCTGCACCTGTATTGGCTACACCCGACTTCTCAAAACCTTTTAGATTAGTTTGCGATGCTAGCACAACTGGTTTAGGATGCGTTCTAGCTCAACTAAATGAACAGGAAGAGGAGGCTCCAATAGCATACATGTCAGAGAAACTGTCAAAGGCCCAACGGAATTATAGTGTGACCGATCTGGAATGCTTAGCCGTAATAAGAGGTATTTTTAAATTTAGAGCGTATATAGAAGGACAGGACTTCGAAGTAATAACTGATCATGCTTCCTTACAATGGCTCATGAGACAGAAGGATCTCAGAGGACGTCAAGGTAGATGGGTGATCAAATTACAGGGCTTCAAGTTTAAAGTCTCGCATCGTAGCGGTACACAAAATGTTGTCGCTGATGCGCTATCGCGTCAAAATGAGACAGAGCTTGCGGAATTCGAGGAGCAAGGTCCCATAGTTGACCTGTCTTCACCCGAATTCAAATCGCCAAACTATCTGGATCTGATAGACAGTATTTCTTCTAACCAATCCAGATTACCGGATTTACAGATAATCGACGGTTTTATATATAAACGTACTGAGCCAGCGACGGGATATAGCATTCAGGAGAAACAATCCTGGAAACTCTGGATACCTTCGTCTCTCACCCTACAAGTGATAGAGAGAGCCCACAATCCCCCTAACGCTGCACACAGTGGCATCGGAAAAACAATAGAGAAACTCAAGAGATACTTGTTTTGGCCAAAAATGTCGGCCCAAATTCATGAATATATAGTCAATTGTAAAGTTTGTCGGCAAACGAAAAGCCCCAATGTAGTGTTGAGACCTCCAATGGGCAAGCCTATGACGTCAGAACGGCCATTTCAGAAGCTCTACATGGATCTTCTAGGGCCATATCCTCGGTCCAAGAACGGCAATATAGGTCTCCTGATGGTTGTAGACCACAATACTAAATTTCATTTTATGTGGCCTCTTCGCGCGTTTACTACCAACAAAATTATCGACTATCTAGAAAACACACTGTTTTGCACTTTCGGCGTGCCAGAAACTATTCTGACCGACAATGGCTCTCAGTTCATTTCTAGTGTCTTTAAAGCTTTTCTTACCCGGTATGGAATCATCCACATTCGAACGGCAATATACTCGCCACAAAGTAATGCGAGTGAGCGAGTAAATAGATCAGTATTAGCGGCTATTAGAGCCTATATCGGAAAAGATCATTCAAATTGGGATAAAAAGCTGTACGCCATTTGTGCTGCCTTGAGAGCCAGCGTTCACCAAAGTACAGGGTACTCTCCATATTTTTTAGCGTTTGGACAGAATATGATGTTAAACGGTAAAGACTATGACTTGCTAAAGCGACTTAACCTCTTGTCCGAAGACACTGCTATTGAGAGGCCCACAGCCTTACAAGTAATCCGTCAGATAGCTAAAGACAATGTAGCTCAGTCACATAATAGAAATGCTAAGATATATAATTTGCGCAGCCGAAACATAAGTCTTACTGCCGGTACGAAAGTCTTCGCCCGCAATTTTTGTCAGAGTAACGCGCAAAAGAAGTTTAGTTCTAAGCTTGCACCAGTTTTCATTCCGGCGATTGTTGTACAAAAAGTCAGCCCAGCCTACTATCAACTAGCTAATGAAACAGGTAAATGCATCGGTACTTTTCATCTCAAAGATATACAAACTAGTAACAAGTTCTAACTCAACAGTTATTATAGTTATTTCAGTTTATGTCCCGCTAGCAAGTAGCGCTGCATAAACTGTGGTGTAGTGGCTGCTTTGCACTCCCCAAACGAATCTGCTTGTTGATCAGCTGCTCTAGTTTAGTTACTGCTTTACCGACCGCGCTGGAAGCCAATTCTTCGTTTATTGCACAGCTGAGGGCATGCGCAACCGAATAGGGCGAATAGAGAGGAAAAAGGTGATAAGATCAGGCCATAGTACCGTTTTAAAATATAATCGCGTGATGTAGAGCTTTTGAAAGCTTCCTTATTTTTTTTGTCGTTGGGAAGTAGTAAAGGTTAAAAGTACAGCTTAGCATGTCAGATATATTTGAAGCGCGTGCGAGTTAAGTTCATAACATTTTTTCTTTCTTTGCAAATAATTTTTGCAAAGACATCAACGACCAAGGCTGCAATTGTGGTACAGTTTGGAAGTGTTCTTTTGGTACGCTAATAGAAACCAAAAACCTTCATAACAACTCGACCCACTAACCTAATTGTGATTCGGGGTGACCCTTAAAGAAAAGGTATTTATATGTGCTAGTGTTGAGACTTGGAACTAATTAAGGCTTCCACAGTTTCCGTGCCTGCTCAGTTGACTAGATTTAGACGTACTAGTCGGCACTACCAGAGGGGGAGATCGGACCAGACAAGGGCAACACCAAGAGCACGTGTCGCACTTAGCAACCCAGCAGAACCAATTTTGTTGCTATTTTACTTATCAGCCGCTGTCTTGCGAAGAACAACATCTGGCATAGCCTCGGAAAACGGCGTCAAGCGGGTGAAACGCTTACTATTTATGCAGCACCATCGGGACCGCATGCACTAAGCATATAGTGTAACCTGCAGAGAGTAACAAAGGAGCCGAGTCTGTATTACTTTTGGTGTACCCCTTTCGCTTGCTTAGCAGCATTGCCATATAATTCCATTAATTGTTTAACGTTGCCAAGATGGACGGCTAATAGATCCTTAGTTTTAATTTTTATTTCCTTTAATTTTTTTTTCTTTTACTAATTTCTTTAAAACAAAATGTGCAATGAATATGCCTAAATAAGTTAAAGCGAGAGGAAATTCCTACACCACCGACCTTGACCGTTGCTCATATATATATATATATATATATATATATATATACATGTGTTTATATACTTATAAATTTCTTTTGTAATATTTAGCAATAGCGATCATAATCGTCGTATACATTGGGCCCAACGTCTGCTTCGAAGGATATCGCGTGAGTAAGAGTTTAAACCAATGCCTATAGATATATGTAGTTATATACACACATGAACATTTAAATGCAGTTAATTTAGCAAGACGGTAAATTAATTACTATCCGTCAAGTCTCAAGATAATGTTGGTGAATTTCTCCTTCCCCTTAATTTCTTTATGGGATTTAAACTCGTTATTGCACATTCATCATATTAACTTTGGATTCAAATTTTGTTTGGAAACTGTATATTTTTTCTTGTAAATAGAGTTATACTCACCTTGCTATTAATTGGCAACAAAATTGAACAATGCGTGAATAAACGAATTATATTAGCTTATATGATATGATATCCTAATTCCATAATTAATTGTTTTATCTGTCAAGTACCCATGTTAGCCGCTTGCAATTTATAGTGATGGTTTAAGAACCTGAAATAGGGACAAGCATCCACATTCCATTTTTTTTTTGCTTGTCAAGGTAGGGAGGGTAAAGAGAAAGAGAGACGATCAACACCTTAGTTCTCTCACTTACGCGAAATTGAATAGTTTGAATTTGGGTGTTCGGTCGGAACACATTAATGGTACCCATACTAGAATCCGGTTTTTTTTTTGTTTCAATGGATTTACTTAAATCAATAAGTTTTTTTTTATTTTTTTTGATCGCACTTAAACTATGTGTTTATGGTAAGTGCAAAAGGGAAAGGAAAAAAACCCCGACCAGTCCGACGAGCTATTGTCCGAGTATTAGCAAGAAGTGCGAACCTCCAATCCCTATGCACCCGGTTAGGCAACAGCCACGGCCGTTTGTTTTTATTTTTGGTAGATGGCCAAACGAAAGGCAAAAACTGAACCCGAACCCCCCCACCATTACACTCCTTGGTATAATCTAATCCCTTTCTCAGCTAGACTAATATTCTAATAAAAAACTTGAAAACAGCACAAACTCAACGCGTTTTCTAAGCACTCGTCAGCCTCGTACTCGCCTCGTAGCCTGGCTGGATTTGATTGAGCCTGGCTTAGTCCTAGTGTCCAAGGCTCTCGGCGCTGTCGGCCTTATGCAATGACAACGCAGGTTGCATAACAACAAAAGGAGCAGCCAAAGTGGCATATTTGCACTCAGAGCAGGCATTCAAGTAAGCGGACAATGCGGCATTTGTGTACGTGGAACGCCGCTTACAATGCAGATCTACTGCGCCGGCTGCTTAATTTGTCGAAAACTTACACAATTGCTTTGTGCGGCTGTGGCCAAAACAAAGCCCGAAGCCAAAGGACGACAAGGAGGAGGACAATGCGGCACCTCGCTGGCCGCGTAGTTTCCCGGGAACTGTGAACAAGTACTCGAATCGTAGTTGACCAAACTCATTAAGGTGCCAGATGTGTGACGCCACACTTCACACAGACAAACGCGACTGGACACTGGCCGCAGCTTAGGCCCTGGCCAGCCTGATTAGCATAAACCAAAGGCGCTTAATCATATTTTCATAGGACGCGAACACGGCACAGATTTCATTCAGAAATCCGATTGCACATTCGTTTAATATAGAGCTGAACGCCGGTTCAGCTCAGGCGCGGTGAGCCTGTGCGAACCCTGCGAGCCCCTACCTGGCCCAAGCGTTGCT